GACAATGAAACACACGGATAATCTGCCTGGGAAATTGGAAAACCAGAAAACTGATCCCTATTCAAGTGTTAGACACATGAGAAAAACCCGAAAAACTTTAACGTTGGTACCCGTGACAAACTACCAGTGTTTCAGTGGTTTTTACCGTCTCGACCACTAATTTTGATTTTTAATTATAAATATATCAAAATGCGGATTATAGTCCACAATATTTAAGTAAAGTAAATGTTTTGTGTAAAGTACTTTGTCGCAGAATGAGTCAAAAGTCAGTCAATCATCGTAATTAAAATATCCCTTTTCAACACTGTCTAGAGAGATATTTAACAGTCAGTGAACCAAATCTGGGTATAGTGACACTTCAAGATTTGCAGAAGACATTTTCATAAAAAACTTCAATATGAAAACTCATTTACTACTGCACTTTTGGCCCTTTGGGTCTTAATTCGTGCGATTTTTGGTTCTTAGAACACTTAAAAAGTGTGGTTTATCAAAGGTATGTTGCAAATTTAAATGGATTATTGTAGTTTTTGTCTTTTATATCTAAGCATTAGATAAAACATATACATTTTAAAAATTTATTTTAAAGCATTTTAGAACAAAATTTTGGCAAAAAATCATCTATATTTATCATTTTCTTCTGTTTCCTCTAATGTACAAATAAATTAAAGCAAGCTTATTTATTGATAGTTTTATCTCACTACTGGTAACTAATTCAAAATTTACCTTATAAAAAATATATTTAAAAAATCGATTAATACAAGTTTAAAATTAACCTATACTTTCTTTAAATATATTTCATTTGTAAAAAGAATTAAAAGTAAGCGTTTAAAGAGTTCTATATGTGTTACATTAAATATTTGTAGCCTATATTAAACAGTATATTAAATAAACAAATATATAAAAAAGTTCTTAAAATATGCATTAAAAATAATATTTCATTTCGTTTAAAAAGTTAATTTAATCCATAGAAAATATACCCGTTTCGCTTTCAATCGTTTAATGATTGCAAACATAACATGTAAATATTGAATCATTTTTAAAAATTTTCGTAAAATAAGATAAAACAAATTTGAGAGTTATACGCTACTTAAACACACATACACAAAGTAATATTTAATATAATAATATAGCAGAACCTTCGATAACGATCACCTCTAAACAACAACTATTGTATTTTTTTTTTTTTTTAACAAAAATGCATATAAAATAACCTCCAAACAACGGCTACTTTGAATGGCCGTTCTTTAGAGATTTAATTGTATAAAAATATTAATTTGGCACTAAAATAATACAAAAGAATACTAATAAACATAATATAACATAGAAGAAATTTACGTTGACTTTTTAAAATTTATTAAACTTAATAAAATTTTTAAAAATTAAATTTTAAAGCACTTTTGTGATATGACCATTCTCATCTTTTGATTAAAAAAATCTTTATTTAGAGGAGGGAGCGTGTTTTTAACCAGAACGCCATTTAAGAAGGCCCACTCATAAGACCTCGTGTTGTATTTGCAAATTGTATGAGTGCATACATTCGGCATACATGTGAAAAAATGAATATTAATACAGTCAAATCTCCAATAATGGCCAAATCCCAATAACAGATAAACTCTAAACGGCGGCCATTTTTTCAGGCACGTTTGTTTTTTTGAAATGAATAAAAAATGACCACTTTCAAGCAACGGCCATAATTTTTTTTCCATCAGTGGCCGCTGTTCACAGGTTAGACTGTGTTTAAATGGATGCCTTTGTTGACAAAAGAACAGGAAATATACTTTCATAACTCAAACTCATAACAGCAAACTTAAATTTATAATAATTTACATCTTATAAGGCCTCACTAAAAGCTATAAAAGGCATCATAAGGCTTGAAGACTATAATTCTTCACCTCTTCTCTAGCTCCAAATATCTAATGAATATTCTATTTTTATTTCATTTCACTAAATTTTTTGATTTGTCTTTAAAGATTAAAAAATACTAATAGAAAAATACTAATTTATAATGAAAACAATATTTTAATTAGTAAAAAAGAATTAAAATAATAAAAAATTTATTGTGAATATATCATTTATTAAATTGTACAAATACAGTCAAACATCTAAACAAAGGCCACTGATGCAACGTGAAAATTAGTCGATATTCGGAGGAGGTCGTTATTTGAAGGTATTTTTCAGGAATTTTTGTAAAGAAAGAAAATCCGTTTTTGAAAAAAATGCTCGTTATTAGAAGGTAGCAATTATTGAAGATTTGACTGTATTTCCGGACTGGCCTCAGCTTTTAAATGTATTGTTATTTGATGGAGGAGGAAGGACCCCTGATATGCTAAAGCTTAGATTCGGATTGAATTGATGGGACTTGGGCTATCTGCCAGGAGGGATACCTGTTGGAAGGATTTCTATGGCAAACTGGCTACTATTTAGGTGTTACAAAAGTGAAAAAATTCGGAAAATTCTACGTGGTCAGCCATTGGTGAGGCTCAAACCCGCGACCAACTAACAGTATTTAGTGATTGTTTTGGGTGGGTTATATCTTAGGACTATAACAACTTTAAATTAGTTTCTTATACAGATTACTGGTAAAACCAGTACACGATTCATTAAATAAAATTGCAAATTCAACAATTTAAAACCACATTTAGAACTTGAAATCTGCAAAGTATATTAAATATAATAAACAAAATATACATAATATAATGATTAATGAAAACTATTCTTCGTTTGTATGAACTTTACCTGAAGTCTGATGAACAATCAAATATTGCTCGTGAATATCTTTGATAATAAATAATGACAATTTTTAAATATTTAAACTGATAAGACAATTCATAATACAAGAAAATATATTATTTATTTATTTATTTATTTATTCGAATGATTAAAAATTCATCACGTGCAACTAAGATTACATTTTAGATAAGTTACACAATAATAATGAATAATTTAATAAATCATTTAACATTTAGTTATTTCGCATAAAAGATCAATAAGTTTTACTTTAAGATTCTCTTTGTCAACTAAATAAATTCATTTCTTTATAATTTAAAATCTTTTGTATTTGAATTACCGAAAAATAAATATTTTTCTTCCTTATGTAAGTAAAACCATTATTTAAAGTGGAATTATTCAGTATTATCGAGCTTTATTAATTTGAAAATTATTCGATATTGAACATTATCTACTGTTAGTATCCTTATAATTCAGCTGTATTAACGTGAGAATTATTAGGACTGATTGAGCATTATTTACCATTAATTAAACTCGTTAACTGAGCACTATTTAGGCTACTAGTAATTAGCCTTGTTGACTGAGCATTGTTAAGCTTTATTAACGTGACAATTATTCAATATTATTGAATATTAGTTGATATTATTAATAGTTAGCCTTATTAATTGAGCATTATTAGGATTATTTAGCATTAATGGGCTTTATTAACGCGTTAATAATTGAGCATTGTTCAACATTATTTACCTCTGTTGACCTAAGAATTATTGGCATTATTCAATTTATTTAACATAATCAAACTTTATTAATATAACTATTCGACGCATTATTCATCATTTTAAATCTCATTTAGCATTACTGATCACTAACTATTCAACACAATTGAACATTTATTAACACGCGCCTCTTTATTATTTTTATTAACGTTATTAATAAAATTACATTACATTATAATTATTAACATTATACGTAATTTAGACATTATTAACATAAAATTCATTAAAGAATAGTAATTATTATTAGCGCGAGCTTCATTAAACATTATTGAGCATTATTAATTGAAAATATTAAATCATTCGCATCTAGGATAAATAATGTTTTAGGGAGAATTAATTAAAAATATTTCAAGCAATCTATTTAATGTAATTAATTAAATCAGAATTTACAATATAAAACATTTACAAATAAATAATAATAAAATTGGAAAATTAGATAAGGAAATTAGATCCTTTCAACATTAAAGATATAAATCTTAGAAAAGATAATTATCCCAATTACCGTCTGCAGATTCTCTAGTGGCCCACTGTTACGGTAATATTCACAATTTCTTGTTCAAAAACTACGTAAATTATCATGAAAATTGATTTAAAAAAATGCGGTTTTATAAATGAAAATTATCTCTTTGGTGACTTTTTACGCATGAAACATCAATAAAAAACTCAACTCGTGAAAGAAAAATAATTAATTTATACAAAAAAAAAATGCCAATTTTCGAATAGCGTAAACTATTTAAAAATATTCCACCATTTTTTATAACTAATTAACATACTTTTATTATTAAAATGAACAGTTCGACGCTTTTTTATTATATATAACCTATATTTAAAGAAAACTAGAAAAATTGTTTTATAAAATCACTAAATTTTAATATTAATAACAATCTTCAAATATAAATTTCGCATAATTCGAGTTAATGTGGTAAATTGTCAGTAGGGAAATCAATCTTAATTGTTAATTTTTCAAATGAATTTTCTATATATTTTCATGTCTTTATCAGAAATTGTCGTCGACTGTTTAACATTTGTTAAATACTTCAAAATTATTGTACAGTAAAACTTGTCTAAAACGGAACCTCCTAAATGAAAAAATTCGGATTGATGATTTAACAAAGAAGGGTACCCTCGGGAGGGCTTTCTGTGGAAACTGACACCTATTTAGGTGTAAAATACCCGGAAAATTCCACGTGACCAGCCCGTTGATAAGATGGAGCCCTCGACCAACTACCAGTGTTCAGTGATTTTATCTATTTGGCAACTGTTGGCAATCTCCAAAATTAAAAAAAAAAAAAAAAAATCAGTACGACGGGATTCCGGTTTACACAGGTTTTGCTGTATCAACTTTCTTTGTGTAAACTGGAATGGTACAGTATCGAATTTTTTTTTTTCAGTTTGGCAAATTTCCGTTTTATTCGAGTTCCGTTTTGGACTGGTTTCACTGTAAAATATTTATTTATAAATTTTTTCTCTAATAAAAAGTAATTAATTGTATATATTTACCTTCCACGTCGGTATCGTTATAAAGATGTAAAGCCATTTGACTAATCCTCGGATCGAAGCTATCTAAACTAGTTGTAACGTATTTTCTTAACTGGTTCCAAGTCCAAAGGCTAAGATCTTCGGGTCCTGGCCAAATATCTACACTCTGCGACCCAGTACCTGTAGATATTTACAAATCATCACTAAAAAATCGATACGGAAATAAAGGCAAGATTCATGCATTATATATTAACAGCTAGTAAAAATGTTCGAAATAAGGCAAATACTCCGTATCGAATCATCTTCCAGAAACTTGCCAAAGTCAATTTACCCTATATAAAGTATAGGTGTGCGGCAAGCGTTACATATATATATATAAAAGATTCTATAAATAGATTGCAGGAAGGCCCAATACGAATTTCTGTTGACGTTAGAGAAAGAATTACATAGAAAATTCTATCTTAAAACCATCTGCCACGGATTTCCCAAGAGTTTTTACTAAATCGATCTATCTATCAAAGGACTTTTCTTTTCAGTAAGAACTTTGATCGTTTGATTTCGCTTTCTGCGAGACATAGCATCTTGATGCGATATCAACGAGCGAGGCGACTCACATCTGGTGGCACTTCCAACTTGTCACTTGGAAAACGCTTCAGGCGTTCAGCTTCTTTGTCTATTAATCATTCTCCAAATGACTGTCCTACTACTAAATCGATACTTTAATAGAATCATGCCTTATCCATTGTAAAACACTTTATACCTTAAACGTCTCTTAAATAACGCTATTGTTTATTATCCTACTAACTAAATACCAACTTCTTTTACTAATTTTACTATAATTGCTTGCTTTTTGTGGTCATTCAGATAATGTTTTAATCATTTAAGCTCTATTTTAAAGCGGTTTATAAGCATTTTATATACGTAGCAATATGTACGCTTACTTAATAATATTCACACGTCTTTCTTATAAAAGATATCCAAAGATATATTTAATTTTTATGTAGACATCTATATATTTATGAATATACATAAATTTGATAAATTAATAAAAATTAAAAAATCAAAAATTTTGCCTTTACAGCAAGATTTACCTATAAGTAGAGGCAAGTCGTTAGCTTGTCCCATGTTTATAGTTTCAAAAGGTGTAGCTGGTAAAATATCACCTGAAAAATAATAAAATCATTAAATAAACGTATTTTAAAATTAATTAATTAAATGAGGATTTACGAGATTTTACCATCGACTACAATTAATTGCTCCGGATATATTCCTTGAATAGGAAGATCGTTCTGATCTCTGATTCTGAACGAGGGATCGTCTTTTCCTAAATATGACAGCAAAATCTCCTTACTAGACATCTGTTTTAGGCATTTTACATCTCTGCAACCACTTCTAGCCAGGAAAAAAGCCGTATTATGTTTTTGCAGTTCTTCAAAAGTTCGATTAAAGATGGCTGCAGGACCTATCAACCAAGCGGATCTGAACAACTCTCTACCAACTTTAGAAGAAATCATTGCTAATATAGAAGAAGCTCCCGCATCGGGACCGAAGACTGTTATCTAAATAAAATATTAATAAAATTTTTTACTATTATTCTTGTAAAATTATATATTATACAGGGGCACATCTAGGAAAGGGTACTTTTGGTGTTGCAGCACTCTTTTGATGTAAATGCAATCAGTTTTGTTACTTTAATGTAAAAATAAATATAACTTTGATTAGGTAGCTAAAATAATTTAAGGTAATTGATTAACATGCTCTAAAAGACAGAGGGAACCCACCCTGCCATTACCTACCGAATCTGAATTTAGCAGCACCCATATTCTCAAAATCCTGGATAAATCACTGACATTACGTTCTACAGGATAAGTCAAAAGTTGTTGAATACCCTTATAAAATCGAACTCAGTTAGACAGGAAAAATTTTGGCACGAAAGAAACATGTACGTACTGTACGTAGTCCAGTTGACACACATAAAGATGGTTGCCCCCTAGGCATAACATATTTCTATCGTAACAAAATTCTTCTGCCCAACTCAGTTCGATTTTAAAAGTATGATAAGCGATTCTTGACTTATTCTGTATCCAGTGGAGGATTAAAAACCATCCCTAGGCTGAGATTTAGCAAGGTTTCCCCGACCTTCCTGTCAAATCCTTTGTACTTAACTTACGTTACATAACATATCAATTAAAATATTTGTTTTTGCTCTCGGGCCCCTCTTTTCCGGGCTCCTAGGCTTAAGCCTTCTCAGCCTAATGGTTAATCCTCACTTCCTGTATTACAGGACATAGTTCAAGCGTATAATTTGTAAAATCTTGTAAATTGAAAGGGAAATAATTGTAGCATAGAAGCATTAAAGCTAATATTCAGTGTTAAAAGGGACAATACGACAAGCATTGTTACGGTCTGTAAATAAATTACGAATTCATTCCTGTAACTCAAATGCATTAAAACCAATTCTCCTATAAACAGACCAGATATAAAAGCATAATAAAAGATTGTTTAACTCGTTTATTTTATTATCAAAAGATAAAAAAATAGATTAATGTTCAGAGAGGGGTATCTATTTTTGACAGCAATAACCGTAACTACTGACATAAACGATAGAGACACTCAAGTACCAACCTTTTTCGGATCTCCACCGAAATTCTTTATGTTATCCTGTATCCATTGCAATGCCACAATCATGTCCCACAAGCCGTAATTGCCGAAACCATCGGCTAAAATACTTCCTACAAGTAAGTCTAGTGCCATAAAACCTAAAGAGTGAAGGCGATAATTGAGAGACACGAAGACCATGTTTAACTTCTTTGCCAATTTAGCTGATGGGCATAGTCCCGGTCGATTTCCAGCACCAAATTGAAGAAATCCTCCGTGAATCCATACCATAACCTCTAAATCTGCCTAAAATTCTTTCGATTAATCTCAAAATACGATCGATTGGTTGAAATAGTGCAAATTTTTATGTAAATTTGACATTATTCTTTAGAATTTTTCACAGTGAAACTGACGTAACGACATCAACTTGACGTAAAAACTGCACTATTCCAACCAATCGAACATAGCCTTAATTATGTATAACTTTAAATAAAAAAAAAGCAGATACGTACAGAACTATCCAATCGAGGGGACCAAATATTTAAATATAAGCAATCTTCTTGTCCTTTATACTTTTTGTTATAAGGACTAAGTTGAAAGCAAGGAGGACTAAACTGATGAGCTCTTTGTCTACTTGTGTTGCTACAATGTTTAGTATCAGTCCATATAGGAACCGTCTTCTTCCATCTTAAATCTCCCACTGGAGGAACTGCGTAAGGTATTCCCTGAACATAATAAATTTATTAATGTATTTATAATGTATTTTGTAAATAAGAATTAAACAAAATAAGGATAATTAATATAAAATCTTGTTTCTAAATCGACTTATGTCAGAAAATGTCATTACCAAAAGACGCAACTATAAATTTAATTAGTTTTCTTTTATTTGTTATTATAACTCGTTATTAATGGATAGTAACAAACACAAAATATATTTGTTATGTGGCAATCTTTTTACTTCTTTCATTTAAATCATTTTGAGCCATAATAAAGTCGAGTTACATTATAGAGTCAAACCTCACAACAAAGGCCACCTCTAAACGGCGGTCATTTCTCAGGAACGTCCTTTTCTCTAAACGGCGTCATTTCTTTTTCAAATACGTACAAAATAACCTCCAAACGTTTACTTCTTTACACCACCATTTTATGTTCACGTCAGTGTCCGTTATTTAGAGGTTTGCCTGTACAAAAGTACAGTATTTAAACTAGATTTTAAATCATTCTAGAAAAAATTACAAGTGTCAAACTTATAGGCTACTTGTTGCAGCCATAAAGAAGATGCAGTAATATAAAGGGCTTCTTTCCATCTACCAAATAATAACGAATATAAGGCCCTCGCGGTTTTAAATTCGTTTCCGCAAATTATGCATATTTATTTGAAAATATGTTAACTTTAAATACTTAAAATAGCATACGTTTAAACATGTCCACCACTTAAAACTAATAAATTATAGTTCATATAATCGAGGTCTTTGTTCCTTTTAGAGTGTTTAAACAAGGCTTAATTTATTAAGTAAATCGTTAAAAAATAATTTAATTAGTGTTTTTACAATTAAAAAAGTCATAACATATGTCCCAAAATTCAGTTAACTGAAATATATTTTCAGAACTGTGAAAACCTGTTTAGAACAGCTACATCTGAGGTTAAAAATATATCTTGGTTACCTGAATTTTGAGTCATCCTATATGCTCGAACATTTAGATATTTAAAGAATTATAAAATAATTTTATCGAGTAATATTAGAATGTGAAGAAGTAGATAAATATACCGAGTGGTCGTAATTAAAGCACCTCTATTTAGCGCTGTCTAGAGAGATATTTTGCAGTGCAAATCTGGTATGGCGACATTTCAAGATACTACAAGCCATTTTATCTTAATTCGGGTAATTTTCGGCTTTAGAAAACTTAAAAATGTGCTTTATCGAAGGCATGTTGTAAATTTGGAAGCCTTGAAAGATAGTATCAGGTTCTGTTTAGAAACTACTTAACATAAGTATGGGTGATGGGTATGAAGGTAATCGTTACGATGCGTTACAACGGAGTGGCTACGGAGGAAATTGTTACGCCTTACAACTGGGTGAGAGTGTTTACAAAAACGTTACATAATGCTAGAGTCCAATGATCTTGGACCTCACAATAATTCTGTAGCGTTGCATAACAAACCACACTGTTTATGTCGTTGCTTTGAATATTACAGGTGTAACATTATACGTGAATGAAATATTGTAACGCTCAATACTCCACGCTGTGTATTGTTCCTTAGTACAGTTAATGGGGTCGATCGAGGATATGCGTAACGTAATTTATGGACTCTCCCAAATACAGCACGCGAGAAATATTACAAAGAACATTAATTACGTTCGACTGTTCAATACACTGTTCATCGCCTTCGATACACGTTCAGAATGGGAACCACATTGAAAGTATCGCCGAGGTTTGTGTAAAACACGAATGTCATGTACAAATAAAATACTGTATTTGTTATTTGCAGCACCGAAAGTGCTAAATTTGGTATTAATTTTTTAAATGAAAATGTCTTCGGCTTCTCCCGAAATATCGCCACACCAGATTTCGTTGCACTTAGACTGTTAAATATCTCTGTAGACAGCGTTGAATAGTGGTACTTTAATTACGATCATCCGATACGTACAGTAACTAAGCTTATTATCGTCAAGAATTAAGCAAATAAATAACTTGATTAATCTTATTATCTGCATGAAATAATAACTTATTTTATTATTTATTTGGCTAGGTTAANTAGAGGAATATAATTTAAATTCTTTATACGATATTATAAATTTCAACAACAAAATAATGAATTCGTTCATTTTACATTTATAAATTGTTTTTTTTTTCAAATTTTCATAATAATAATTAACGGATTTAATCTTATTTAATTATTCAGTTTGCGTGAATTATAAAAATAAATATCTGAAAATTGTAATTTATTTTTTGAAAAATAATTTTTTTTTTAATATTCGATAAAAGAAAATGGTTATTATAAAAATAATCTGTTTACAGTTTAAAATTGTGAAGTAAAACTAAAAAAAAGTCTGTTCGTTTGTTAATGAAAGTGATTAAAATAAGAAAAATAAAATTTGATCGCAATTTTAAGTCAAATGTCAATACAAAAATTAAAATATTAAAAATTTGGCATATAAAATTCGTATGAATATTTAATAATTTGAGTAAATATACCAAAAACTTTAGGTAAATGTAAGGTAAATGAAACGAGCGATTATTTATTGTGACATCGTCACAATGCCGGGCTGCAATTTTTCACCATACTTTAATTTAAAAAGTCACACGACTTCGTATATAGTTAATCGGGGTTTCCGATTCCTAAGCTTTCCATACTCGATCTGGATTTTAGTGGCGTCTTGCCCCTGTACATCATACTTCTCCTGACAACAATTGAGTCATGCCTGTTATCTATCTAACTCCGTTCTCGAGAAAATTTTGAATTGAAATCACGTAACTTCCGATTCAGCTCGGAAGTTTGTATATAGTTAATCGAGTCGCTAGGTCCAAAAGTTTTCCATATCTGGTCGCGATTTTCATCTATCTAATTCCGTTCTCGAGATTAATGAAAGAAGACAGACAAACAGACGGCAGTGGGAATGCGTAGGTCTGTAATTTGAAAATTTCAGTCCAAACAGTTATTTTTTTTTTACTCTTTTTACGCTATAGTCACTAAGAGATACTTTTTTAAATCATACCCATAATGGGTTGATTAAAAAACCCCTTAACATATGAGAAACGGGAGCTGAATATATTCGGTTAAACCACTCATTAAAAATACATATATACATTCTGGGGGTGTTGCTCTTCCAGATTCGATTCCGGGTCCACCAGAACAGCAGGCTTATGTTTTAATCAATTTGTCTGTCACTTTGTAAGGATTATAAACTCTAAGGTATTAACATAAATTTGAGGTTAAACCTTAAAACATTAAATTTTTGGTATTGGATTGATGGTATAAGGCAACCCAACACATGAACAATCTGCCAAAATAGATACTGTTTATGAGGACTTTCTATAGTAAACTGGCCCCTATTTAAGTGTTAGACACATGATGAAAAACTAGAAAACTCCAAGCGGCTAGTCCATTAATCAGGCACGAACCCATTATCAGTGCTTAAACTTTTGGGTCAATATTCAAGTTAATAAAGAGTTTAATTTTATATTTACCTTAGTTTAACCGAATTTTAAAAACTTTAATTGTCTATCTTTTTACTTTCTTAAAATAATATTTTCAATTAAGAAACTTAAGATTTAAAAGATATTTTTTTATTTATTTTTAAATGTTTAATAACAAATTATTTTAATAATTTTTAAAATATTGATAAAACAAGTTTATTTATTTATTTTTTAAATTAAAAATTCAAATTTGCATATTTCATAAATGGCTACTTATTTAAATAAATTTCGAGAATATCTGTTGATATTCACTTAAATGAATATTCTCAGAATAAAGTAGATAATATTTCTCTTAAGTAGACACTCGTATTTAATTTTAACAAACTGATAACCCTCATCTCCTTCATTAACATTAACGGATCATTAATAACAAGTGTAATTCGTCCATTATTAATGTATGTCACTTAAAAATTTAAATTAAAACAACTTTTTTCAATGTTAAAAACTATAAATTTATCATTTTTATAATCAAAACAAAATTTTAATGATAAATTTCTTCGTTAATTCATAAATCTTAGCTTTAAAAATAATTATATTATTGTCTTTAACCTCAGCTCTCTTCGTTTCGCCCAGAAAGTGTACACTTTAATGTCAAATTGACACCATCTCTTCATTTTTATAATGAACGAGTTTTAAAAAAATGACGTCAAATTGACGTAAAAGTATGAACTATCTCAACCCCATAGGCCTCTTAATTTTAACTATTGCAACGTCAGATTTTCAATTACAGTGATCATATCATTGATATGTGACACTTAAAAATTAAAATATTTTTCATTAAACTGCAATTTAAAACAACCTCTGCCTTTGCTTAATGACGAATATAAATGAGATACCACTTATTTTAAACAAAGTTTTAAATTTCTCTTGATTATTAAGAATGAAATTTAAGAATTCCAGTTTTGAGGTATGTAAATTATACTTTTCAACATTAATTTTAATTAAAGCAATAACAAATTTATCATTACTTACCTTGAAAACAAAAGCACCTTCTTCTACCACCCCTGCATATTGTCCGCAGTTAGTTTTAACCAGGAGAGCATCTTCAAAACCTCCACCATTAGAAGATTTAGCATCTGGTGTTAGGCGTAGCGTGTTAAAACCATCTTTCCAGGGTAGGACGAAGCATAAAGTGACACCAGCCATGGCCAATAGGACGACCATAAGAGCCACAGTAATCAATGTCACCTTGGCTTTTTGGTACCAACGTCTCTTCATTCTCAGTTCCTGGTACCTTTTTCTAATGGCTTCGTCTTCATCATCCAGATGACAGTAAGGTCGATGGACATTACGCAAGAGGGACATGCTAACGGCACGTGGAAAAAAATATTCATCATTTTAATGACGTCAATTTTGATAATATTCGTAAATTTTAATTAAAACTGACATAAACAGTCGGATATTATTTACTCTGACTGAATTGTTTTGAAATCCGATATTTTCTGTATGAGACAACCTATTCAATTATTGAAAGAATTAATAATTATTCTATTCGCTTCGGGTTAATTTTTGAATATATAAATAACTTTATTGTGTGAGTCAAAAATCAATATTTAACTCAAATATACCGAAGGTTTTCATATTAAAATGTAAAGTTAAAGTGATTAAGTTAATGTTAAGATCAGTAGCGTAAGCAGGGAGGGGACCAGGAGTCCCCTACCTTTGTAAAAAGTATAATCGTCATCCACAGCGCTAGTAGTGCAGAGCGTAGCACGTTCTAATTAGTGCTCCCCCTAATACCTATTATAGTTACGTTAGTGCTTAAGTTTGAAAAGAAGAAGTTGCATAAAATATTGTTTAAAATACTCACGAATTTCATGTAAAAGTATTCCAAACACGCAAAATACACGAAAGTTAATTAGCACGCTTAGCTTAAAAAAATGATCATCTTTTTTAAAGAACGAACAAGGTTATTAATATCACGATAATTTTTCTTTATAGAACAGTATGAAAGAATGTGACCACAAATCGGAAAGAGTGACTACATGTGTCAGAATGATACATAACGCTATTTCCAGTAATAACGTGGCAAGGGCTGACAAGAAGAAATACATCACAGTTACACATTGCAAAGCTGTAAGCTTATCAAAGCATTGCAATTCCATCAAAATATCTGCGGGCCATACACTCTCAATAATACCTATCGAAGGTAGTTATTGACAAGGTGCATAGCCTTCTGCTTCCAAAAAAAACGCTCCGGGCTTGTCTACACACAAAACACGCATTTATTAATGTCTTTCAAAGTTGAAAAATTATTATATTTAAATTTCTTACGCGAATTTTATATTAAAAATTAATTTGAGTAACTTTTAAAAATATATTTCAGTTGCAATTACACCTCTTTTTCTTCCTGTGATGCTGCACTTGATGATGCTTCTTACCTGATCGATTAACTATAGAAGCTACATTTGATAAAGAATTCACTTTAAGAGACTTTGACGTGATTTTAAATATAAAAAAAATAATTTAATGATATATAAATAGTATTTTTTAACGTTTTATTTTGTATTTTTATAGAATAAAATCAATATAAAAATTTATTCTGAGTTAAGTTGAATAGGATACATAATATTTTCCATTGATCTGTCTGGCCTAAGGAAATCTAAGAAATGACAATCACAAGAAAATAAAATTTGAATTTTTCTATAGTGAATGGAGTCAACATCATTCTTCTAACAGTTTAAAACGTCAGAAAAACGTTGAAAAATAAAACAATATAACTGGACAATAAATCGAATTTAGTATATAAAAAATGGAAATTTATTAATTATACTTTTATAAATTTATAAATGAATAATATGAAGAATAGATTCAACGTCATCTTCTTAACATCATTCGTTTTGTAAGAATAATGTACACTATTACGTTAATTTGAAGTTTTCTTGCAGTTTCCTTATGAGAAAGTGCGATAATGACGTTAATTTGATGTCATTCTTGAGGTTTTCATACAAGAAAGTGTGATAATGACATCAATTTCACGTAAAAGTGTTAACTGTAGGACTATTTGCTTTATACGAATAATGTACAGTAGTACGTCAATTTGACGTCAACTTGTTTTCTTACGAGAAAGTGATAATGATGTTAACTTGACTTAAAAGTGTACACTATTTAAACAAAACGAATGCTCCTATAAAGTGCACTTTTACATCAAATTGAAGTCATTATTACAGTTTTTTTCATAAGAAAACTGTAAGAATGACGTCAAACTGATATAACATTGTACATTATTTTGACTAAAACATAAGAAAAAACGTTTAAATCAGTTAAACTTTAATAACTAAATAATAAACCAAATTTAGTGTATAAAAAATGAAAAAATTCTGTTCTATAAACGAATAAACTGAAGAGAAAGCATCTCTTAAGTTGCATCACCGTATAAGAAGATTTAATAAAATTCCATGTTATTGATTAGTTCTGCATGTGTTTCTTTAAACTTTATCTCTTTGATACATTCCATAATGTAAAGTTAAAATTGCTTTAAGAAAAAACGAATATTAAGTTAGTTTCATAGCTTAAAATAAGTGTTTTGCATTAAGCCAACTGCTCAACTTAAATCTTTCTGTTGATTTCGGTGCCAAGAGCCAAAAGTATTGATCAGTTATATTTTCTAGCTGCGAGAGAGAAGATAATATTATTTCCCAACAGAAAAATTGTTCTACTTTATTTCGATTTTTAGCTCTAAAATTCTAAATAACGATTTGGAAAATTTGAAACTCAGTATTTAAATTAAAAATTTGTTTTCATTTAGTCAAATTTTTAAAATAAAATTTCGTAATAGTTTTAAGAAAATTGTTTAATTAAAAAAAAAGCTTTAAAAATTGCGAGAATATTGCGCTTTTTTTTATAAAGAAATTTTAATTGGAAAATTTGAAAAAATAAAGTAGGGTTTTGGGTTGATGGAATGTGCAACACAATACATCTACCGAGGGAAATGCCCCGGAAGGATTTTACACAGAAAACTGGCCCTTATTTAGGTGTTAGTCACGTGAAGAAAACCCAGAAAATTTCACGTGGTTAGTACGTTGGTGAGTTGCGAACCCACGACCAATTACCAATTTGGTTTGGTTTGATTTAATGGAATAAGGTAACACAGCACTTATACGATCTGTCAAGGGGTGATGCCTCCCAGGAGAATTTCTTAATGGTCCCTATTTAGGTGTTATATACGTTAAAAAAAACCCAAAACAATTTCTCGTTGTTAGCCCGGTCATAAGGTCTGTTCAGTCATTGATTATCCCAAAAACCAACGTCTAAAATTTGTAATTGTAAAAATAAAATCGATTTCTATTCCAGATTAACATACATTTCTGCTCCATTTTTTACGAAATTAATGATAATAATAATTCAAAGATAAGAAGATAAAATTCAATTCAAACACTTCGTATTTATTATTTAAAATTGAATTTTATTCTCAATTATATCAAAAAGATACCAAAAAATCAGGTGTTTAAGATTATATATTGTATAAAATTTTAATATTTTCCGTTCTGGAATCGGATGAAAGTGCAGAAAATTGATTCTGCTCGACTACTAGTGAATGCCAGTGGATCAGCAAAGGTTTATTGCATTTAACACGTGATGAGGAATTCAACTATTTCTTTTCCAGCTCCGTAATGTTTAATGGTGATTATTTTGGCCGCAATGGATAAGTTATCACTTTTACGCCTATAAGAACCACTTTGGAGAATATCATGAGCGGAATAATATATATCTTTTTTACTATTAACACAAATAAACTCAATTTTTTTCCTTCTGAATTCCGGTCTCTAACAGTAACTGCATTATATAGATCAAGAGTGTTCGGTGCTTACTAAGAACTGAAATATCCAATCTATTATATTCAGTAGCTAAAGAGTAGAAAAATATTATAAAAAATTAAAATTTTTAAAATAAGTTTTTTAGTAATTCCGGATTGTAACTACAACTGTTTACTACTGGACTATAACTATAATAAAATCGTTATTAAAACCGTAGTTAATTAACACCTTTCGAGGCTCTTGGGCACAGAAGATTGGGCCCTTCACATAATTTTACATTATAAACTAATACATCTAATTGTACGTATAGAAATTTTTATGACTTAAGATTTGTAATTGCAACGGTAAAATTACTTAATTTTTTTCTAATTTCGGAGCCTCTAGATACATGCCTCACTTTCCTAGTGGGCAGTCTGGCAATGAATAGGGCTGGACTGTAACTGTGCTGTTTAGTAATTTTGCACTATAACTATAACTTATACTTTAGGTCTTCGATTAGTTGGGATAGCGTACAATTTTACGCTATTACTTCAGTTTAACAATGAAAACTTTTAAAGAATGTTGTCAAATTTACTTAAAAATATGCACTGTTCTAATTTATCGGTTCTTAGAACTAAGATAGGTATTCAAGCATATTCTGTAGCTGAAGAGGACGAAATAAACAATATTATTGTTATATATTTATTCTGTGCAAATAACTATTGTTCGATTTTTTTTACTATTTTCTGATTGTATCAGCATAATAAAAGTTCGATGCGTACAAAGAAATAGGAACCGTAATTTAGTTAAAGAGGACGAGATGTATAATGATAAATTTTCTATTTTTTTAAATAACTTTATTTGACACAATTAATTTTTTCTGGAAATTTTTAGTATTTCTAATATTATTTGTTCTAGAAGAAAAGATTGGTTGACACGATCCCTTCCCAAATTGACAATTTTACAGATGGAAAGTTGGATGTCAAAAGTAAACTCTGTGTAATTGACAGGTTCTTGTAAGCCATTGATGGCAAAGAAGAAAATGGTTAAACAGAAAGAACCATGAGAGGAGCCAAATTGAAAAAGAAAAATGAGATTTCTTGACAGAAATAAGTGCGATATCTTCAATAATATATAAAAATCTAAGTAAAGTTCGCATAATTCGGTTAGAAAATATATTTTTAAATCTCTTTACGGTAATCCATTCGAAAGTTCTTAAAAAACTATACGAGTGTGTGACTGTCGACATTAAACATATCGTGTTCAGCTTAGTATGAATGATTTGAAGTAATAAGTTGTCAGTCACACGCATCCCTGGGAGCAACAATCCAATTGTCTGCAACTATGGATAAAAATAGAAAGCAAGCAAGAGAGTAGTTATTAAAATTCCAAACTCCAACTTAAATCTAGTTCACACCTCATCAATAATTTACTCAAATTTACTTGAAGCAGAGGAAGAAGTTATTTATATAAATTTCTGTAGCTGTGAAACAATTTTTTTTCTTAGAAGAGCACTCAATATCGCTGCTTTAGTGTTTTGTTTACTAGAAAGATAAAGTTTTATTAAAAA